AGATCTGAGAATAAAGGTTGTAGAACTTTGGTTTTTTTTCTCTCTCTTCTTACTCTCTTTTTATTTCTAGAAATTGAAAGTGTAAAATGGGGAGAAAATCTGATTTTCTCTCCTTTTTATACTTCCCAGATACTTGGTCCTTGTTATGCCACACAACTTGCTTCAATTGGTCCAATTTAATCTCGAATAAATTAAATCTTGTCGCGGTTTAAGTTTAGTACATTTTATATTGAACTAAATTTAAATTATTTTTTGAGTTTCGCGAATAAAATCTAATCGTTTTTATTTTTTTCGCGTGATGTCCAATCGCATCGTAAAACGCAAATAATCCAATTATCTCAAAATTCTACGAAATTGACTAGGTAGCTAGATTTTACGAGATGAATTCAACGGTGGTGTTCGCTTTGTCATTCGAGTTCTAAAAAAAATTGAGTTTTCACCCCGTACTATAATGCTTAATTACCATTTTACCCTTTTATAATAAATTTTTAAATTTTCCAAATTTTTACACTATAATGTTCTCTTATATATAGGAGAAAATTGTGGAAGGATGGGAAAATAGAATTTCATTTGATTTTTCTAGTAAGAGGTTATGAAAATCTAAGAAATTTACCAAAATGAAGTTACTTTAGGGTTTTTGGAAACCTTAGCCATATCTGACCCCAGACACCAAAAATTACTTTCACTTGAACATATGATCTGAGGGATCCAAAACAAGGGCACCTAATTCATTATATTTTATCTATAATTTACCTACTCTGAATTTGCCTTATAAAAAGTCTCAAATAAATAGTTATTTTGCTTTTTCAAAATGGAATTTCACTTTCTAAAGGCAATGCAATAGAGTTATGGACAATAACCATGGTTTTATTTTACAATGAGAAACATAGGGTCATCATATATTGTATATTGATTGAGTAGAATATCGCTTTTAGTATGGCTTTGGTTTTTCGTCCTAAGAACATGTAGCTATCGAATTTATGTTTGTTCAATTACAAGGACTGATATAGTAGTTAGTGATGCTATTGTATTTGATGATTGATGAATCGATGTTGAAAGCTTTTACTTATATCTAAAGGTTTCACAGAGAAACATTACAAATGCTACATTTATGCTCCTATCATTTGGAAGGTTCAATCAGGAATTTCAACCCCTGTCAAACTCACAAACAAAGTAGTCGTAACAAAGCAAACAAAATATATCTGAACAAGTAACAAAGTAGAAGTTTTGTCGAAGTGTTGACATAATGCTTGAAGTATTTCGTATGGATTGCCCTAATCTTTGCACATCACCCTTAAATGTGTATATGGCTTATGTGTATAGGGGAATGTCACTGTCTCTCGGAATGATGCAAGAAATGGGACAAATGTGTGTGTGGAATAAACAAAATGTCTGTGTGTGTGTGTGTGCAAAATTGCCCCCCAAGCGTAGAGAGAATCTTGCATTGTCGTGTTTTACTTGGAATGAAGGTCGTCTCCCCAAAGAAGGAAGGGAATTATGTTGAAGGTGATTTTGTGAAAATGGAAAAGTGTAAAACTCTTTGAGTTTTGTATTTTGTTGAGTTGTGTTTTTTATTAAAATGAAATGGAAACAAGTGTTGGCTAATCCAAAGGGGTCATTCCAATAGGAATGTCAAATCAACTCAAGACCTTCCTCCAATAGTGCCTAAATGTTTAATTGATTCGTAGGAAGCAAGGGACTAAAATGGAGGTGAGGATTCAAGCATACCCCGTGACAAGTCTACGGTGTATCAAAAACTCACAACCACGTCCACACTCAACCTAGTCAAACCAAATCATCGTACACTATGAGGAGGAATGAAAAAGAGTTGATTTAGCACACCAAAGAGGAATTATCCCTTGGATTAGCCAACTTAAAGCTTAGCTACTCATAATAAAATGAAAGACATGTATAATGTAAAGAGACATAATGAAGAAATAAAGATTGGAACTTAAATTAATGCAAGAAAAGTAAACTATGAAGAAGTGCATTCAATACCCATTTTAAAAGCTTGAAAATGAAAAACTCAATACAACAATGGTAGAATCTAAAATGTGTAACTAAACTTGCAAAGGACTTGAAATAAATGACATTAAAAGTAATAAATGAAGCTTACAAAAGTCTTACTAAAGATTACAAGTGAAATGAGTGTAAGAAATGCAAAAATCTAAGCTTTTCTATGTAAAACTTCATCTTCTTCCTTGAGCTTTCTAAGCTTAGGTAGCCTCCTCCTGGCAAAAAACGTATGTGAGTGCTGAATATATGGTGAAGAGATGATGCATTTTCGTCCATGAGGCTTCCCATAGCCTGTGTGCAGGCCTCCCATCAATGGGAGGTGAGTTGATTGGCTTTGGATAGATTAGGACAAGCCTAGCCTGCACCCACCATGCCTCCATCCTTCTCTCTACCCCTTTCCCATCCTCCATCTTCCAAGGCTAACTTTGGGGTGTCGGAGGCATGTATGTATGTAGAATATGTCAGGGGACAAGTGGGAGAATCATATGTGGGACCCCCCAAGCAAGTGGAGCATGAGTTGCAGGCGTTCTAACACTTCTGTGCAAAACCTACTGGTAGAACGATGAAACATACCAGTAGGTTTTACTCCAATAGCCAAAATCTACCAGTAGGTCTCCAGAAGGTTGCCAGCTCCAGACTAGTTTTCGTAGAATTGTCATAACTTTTGATCCAACTATCCGATTGAGCTGAAATTTTGACACAATACAAAGGACATCCAGATCTACAACTTTTATGTTTTTCATTTTTCAGATTCAAAAATGGGGAATATTGAGGTACTGCTACAAAATGGTGTGGGTGTTGATACCTATGTTACCAAGCACCGATACCTCCTTGATTTCTTTCACTTTTAGCCTCCAAATCCTCAAGTAATGTGTTCATTTCTTCACCACTCATCCACACATAGTTGTAGGGTTTCGAAATCCATCATTTACACTATAATTACCTGCAACCACAAGATTTCAACATTATTCATAAACTCGACTAACTCTAAGTAATTAAATGCAAAGTTGAGTTAAAATGCATAACAATGTTGACTCCCTAGCTTGCTAAACCTAACCAAATCCTAGAATCCACCAAATTTAGCTGGTGTAGGGTTGGTTTCCGGACTCCATTATAGTGCATTTAAAGGATTCAATTGGATATTGAGATTTCTAAGTATGAAATTTAATCAAGCCTAACTTGTTGATTTTCAATATATTTACCTTGAAGACCCAAAAAAAAAAAAAAGGTATATTCCCATTGGATTCTTTATGATTTGTCACGCTCCACTATCAAACTTAGATTCTAATTGAAGCTTATTTCAACAAAAAAAAATTGTAAACTCTAGTCGAACTCGAATCATAGCCGAGCTCCATTTCATATTTTTGAAAATCAAACACTAGCACATAATAATAAATTTATCCAAAGTAATTTTTAAAATTCTGTACAATCAAAGATAAATTAAAACTTTAATCATTGATTATTGGTTTTATGTTATTTAGATTGATAGAGTTACGTACTAAAAGTTTTTTTTTTTTTTGTAATGAAACTCATTTTATTATTTAATAAAAGTTCTTCATTTTCTATTAAAAATCTATAAGGGTAAAATGTTTACATTATAATAAATATATGTTATGCATGTATGTCATTTATTTTAAATTGTAGATAATCTAGTGTATAGAGTTCGCCTTATACACAAAAGATCAGATTATCAGATCATTGTATGATATGAGTAAAAGTTTACAATCTTAGATAAACTTGGACACACTATCAATAAGATTGTAGTGCAATCTTTTGCCATAATTTGTCTTGGCTATAAGAGACTATCTGATATCTCGAATTGTTACTCTAGTACATTTTTTGTATTTGATATTGAGGTTTTTTTTTTTTACTATCTAAATAATAAAAAAAATACTTCATAATTTTTATGATTGTTTGAACTCTTAATCCTAAGATATTTAATTGATACATGCATTTGACGATTGTTACTTTAATTCATCAAAGATAAAGATTCATATTTGAGTCAATAAACTCAGTGAATTGAGAGATAACATTGTTTGTATGGATAAAATTAATTATTAAAGGAAACCACGTCCCAATATTTAAATGTGTTGATGATGTCCTCTTAAGAAAACTTATAAGTTTTGTCCATGTTAAACTCCACGGGTGGATTTTATTATCCAACATAACAAATGAGTTGAGTGGTAAAATTTCAACGATAAAAAGAAGTTAATTAAATATAATTGTCAGTAATTTAATTAATTAACGGACATCTGTAATCTTAAACGTAGGAAGATTATTAAATATATAATATGAAGAGATAGAAATATAATTGTTAAGATAAGGTCGAAGAAATCAATAATAAGTTTTTAGTTGACTAACTTTTTATTAATGAACCGTATGATGTTTGTTTTAGATTGGAGATAGGGTTCCTAGACCCATTGAAAGCTTGATCCTTATTTTTCTTTAGGGCATCTACTATAAGTTATAAATAAACGCACTCCCTAATTCTATCGGTCATGACCTTTACCTTTACGTTTAAAAGAGGCAGAAAAAGAAAACATGAGAGAATTGCAGCCCACTGTACATTCAAATTTTGGCATGAAAGAATACATGGTAGAAGATTGTGAGGTTCATTGAGTCATTGTTCGATCTACATTATTTTCATTTGTGCTGTTCTCTGCTCGTCTGAGGTAAACTATAATTCAGCTTTGTAAAATTAATAGATGAATAAAAAATTTATAATCAATTATATACCATCAACGGGATCTTGGGACTACCGTTCTAAAATAGACGTCTTATAATGATTTCCGTGATTGTTTGTGCGATTTTAGTTCTGGGAAAAGTTGTAGTTGTTCTCTTGCTCAAAATCAAAAACCCGACAAATACAGTAGTTCCTCTTCTTTTGCCCATTTTTTTAATGGACATTCAGTTGACAACAACACAAGTGGATGTTATGGTGCATAATTTTTTTCCCAGCAAGTATGGTGCAGAATTTAAGTCTGATGAACAACTCCATTACATCTTGCAAGGATAACTGCACTAGCTTGCTCGTGTCTCTGTGGTCCTTTTCTCTTTCGCTCCCTCTTTGGTGGTAGAACATGCCATTTAATATGGTACACTTGTCACAGACCTAGGCTTGTATAAAGCTATCCTCCTTAGTCCTCATTCTTGCATATCAAAAGTAAAAGAGTTGTTCTACTGTACTCGGGTAATTTCTACTAATTATCTCCATGGACAGCCTATTTTCTACTGGTTCTTTGGTGACTCTGAGTCTAATACTGGCATTGACCACTGTTGCTCCTCAAGCCGAGGCTCGGGCGTTCTTCGTTTTCGGAGATTCATTAGTAGACAATGGCAACAATGACTACCTGGCCACCACGGCCCGTGCGGACTCACCGCCTTATGGCATTGACTACCCGACTCACCAACCCACCGGCCGCTTTTCTAACGGCCTCAACATACCCGATATCATCAGTTTAGTTCTGAATTCTCACCAATATTGTTGAACTAGTGGATTTGCATTGTATATATTTTGTACAAAATACATAGATTAATCTACGTACCATGTGTTTCCAGGTGAGCAAATGGGTGCTGAGCCCACATTACCATACTTGAGTCCGATGCTCACCGGAGAGAGACTTCTTGTTGGTGCCAACTTTGCCTCTGCTGGGATTGGTATCCTCAATGACACCGGGATTCAGTTTGTACGTCCATTTTCTCATCTCGGCTAACCATTTCATTTTCATTCTGAAATTAGTTCTCTTGAGTGCTTTTAAGTGCAGACTATTGTATAATTCAATTTGATAAAGTTACAATCAAACGGGTTTTTTGAGCTTGATTCTAACATTTAGGATCATCCTAAAATTTTGGAGGGAGTAAAAGTTTTTTAGCCGTAAATTAAATCTATTGACACATAACTCAGACTTTTTTAACCATAACTCAAATAAGATATAACTAGTCTATATTTACTATTAAACTTTGAAATAGTTGTTAAAAAAGTTATAATTAGTCTATATTTATTTCCAGACTTTGATACATTTGTTAACTCGTTAGTACAGTAGTTTTACCCATAAGTGCAATGCTTTTTGCATCTTTTTTCCCTGATTAAACTCAAAATATTTTGTTTTATTAGTAAAGGAATAATACTAGCTAACTTAAAAACTGTATTTATTTATGCAGCTGAATATAATCCGAATTGGAAGGCAGTTGGAGTATTTTCAACAGTATCAGAATCGGGTGAGTGGTCTTATTGGACCTGAGCAGACTCAACGACTTGTTAACCAAGCACTTGTCCTCATCACCCTTGGTGGCAACGACTTCGTCAACAACTACTATTTGGTTCCACTCTCTGCCAGATCTCGCCAGTTCGCTCTGCCTGATTACGTCCCCTTCCTCATTTCCGAATACAGAAAAATTCTAGTGGTATGGTCTTGCTACCTTCTCTCTTCTCATTTGCACTTTTACTCCATTTTACTTTGAAAATTACTATTTAAATTTAATTTGGGGGATTGCATTAAATTACAACTCTAATTAGGTCTCTATAACATTGCTCTTTTACTTAAATGATAAAATCACTCACCATGCATGGGTGAGAGATCCACTTATAAAGTAAGTCCAATTTGAACTTATGATAAATAATTTTAACAATGAATGAATTTGCGTAATAGTATATTACAGAGGATCTCAATCTCAGCTATAGTAACAAAGACATTTATTAAATATGTTATTTTTTAGATTCTAATAACATTAATCTATATTAAATTGAGTTTATAAAGTCAATGTGTATGGATTAATTGATCTTATTTCTTTTTTTTGGTAATCGGATCCAATGACCCAATAATTTTCATTTACACGGAAAATTAATTTGGTAAATGTCTTGGTATGAACATCATTGATGAAAACTTTGGAATAAATGACAGTTCAATGATCTTACCATTTTCATTAACTTGATAAATTAATTTGGTAAATGTCTTGACATGCTAATCAATGAAAAATTTTAGCGTAAGTAATGATTTAATTAGATTAAGTTATAACTCAATAAATCCTGCGATCTTTGGATGTATCTTGAATCGTCCCATTGAATCATATAATTAATTGGGCAGTCCCCTATCATTTAATGCAGATGTACTTGCTTATATTACAAGTAATATGCGCACAGGACGTCAATCTCAAATTAGAGACAATAGTTGCCATAACTAAATGCCGGAGCTGAGAAAATGAGTTTTGAATGTATGTATGTACACGTGAAGGTGGGTCGTACTGATCGAGTAATTATGAGAGGCATGTTTGGTTGGTGGGAAAGCCAACTATCGCCCTGTTTCTTCACGTGGTCATTAAAAGCCTTGGTAAAGTTTGCTTTTACCAGAGAGAATGTACCCCCTCGGCTCTCTCTCTCACATTCATTCACACCCCACCAGCCCACAGACGAAACAGACTAATAAAGCCAATTGTCGGCATGTTACCAGTACCACTAGTCTAATACAAGAACTCTGTTTAATTTTCACCACTTTTTCAAAATAAACCAGCATATTGAAAAGGGAAATGGCAATGTCTTGTCAATTGCGGAAAATAGTTTAAAAGAGAAAAAAATAAAATAAAGCTGGTCCTCTAGTTGATATGCATAGGTATCCTGGTGGGTACATCGTGAATGTCATGTCATGTAATTTTAATAAGTTTAATCGACGGTCTCGAATAAATTCATGTAATGGCCACCAAAATCTCCCTTCAAATCATTCACAATATTCCTAGACAATTTGAAATGAAAGAATTTAGATTTTTCATCAATGATTCGGAAAATGAAAAAACTGTTCAATTGTTTTGGTAATGACGAAACAAAATTTTGACCCTTAGTTGTCTGCTCTTACCAATGAGAGAAACGAAAACATATTTCCCAATTACATATTGGTCTCCAATACATTATTTTACTGGAAATATCGAGACAAATAATAAGTATTCACTTTTTGATTAAACCAAAAATTCATAGATATTAATATTGTACAATTGCAGAGGCTGTATGAATTGGGAGCTCGAAGGGTTCTAGTTACAGGTACAGGACCACTGGGTTGTGTGCCAGCAGAATTGGCCCAGCGGAGCAGAAATGGAGAGTGTGCAGTTGAATTACAGCAAGCTGCAGCCTTGTTCAACCCACAACTTGTTGAAATGTTAGGCGGACTTAACAGTGAAATTGGAGGAAATGTCTTCATAGCTGCGAATGCCATGGAAATGAACATGGATTTCATATCTGATCCTCAGGCGTATGGTATGTCACCCACCCCTCCATTATTACATTTCAGCTAGGCCTTTTCATCTAGGGTAATTTATCTACTTATATATAAGAGAATCAAATTATTGAGAGGGAGTTTGAGAAATTTTTTCTCCTAATTTTTTAATTAATAAAAGTTTATTTATTTAATTTCAAACTAGTAAATCTCTCGTGTATCATCGAAACAAATTCTTTGCTAGTCACTAGTTACTTGTAACTTTCAATATGTTCTTTTAATTTTACCCACCACGAGATTCACAACTTGATAAATAATGGTTAACGGAACTACCTCTCGTACACTCTCTTAAAGGGTTAATAAATCCTAGCAAGCCAATGTTATTCATGGCACCTAACATGGAAGGGTGACAGAAGTCAGAAACAGATAGATGAAACATTGAGATCTTGCTTCAGTTTATGATAGAGTGACATCTTTTTTTTTAAATGACCGTGAATAGGGGATTTTTAAGTTTATGTTATATTTTTTAAAAGTAAAGTTATAGCTGATCAGTTATATTATTTTGGGATTGATTATGCCTTTACAATTGTAACTTCTATGCTACTGTGGTAAGACATCCAGGATATGTTTGGTTTAGGCATTATATAGTATCGGATTGGACATATCCGTTTATCCCATACCCATCAATCGGGGTCTTGGACTAATTATAGTGATAATACTTCTTCATTCCATGCTTGGTTTAAATATTAAGAAGTAGTGAGTCCCACATTTATCTCATCAAATACTTTATTTCGATCAAGTATTGAATGATGGTATAAATATTAAATTACTAAAGAACCCTTAAGATAATTATATCATATAGATTCTTGAGGGTAAAAATGTCTTTGTCAAAATATATCTTAACTGCATTATTTAAACCCACCCAATATGTGGGTCTAAAAATATTATTCATCCAGCTGAGGAGTATTTTTAAGTGATAATAACATGCCCAAAGTGTATATACAAATAAAGAAATAAGTGAAATAAGGTGGGCCTAGATATTATTTTGTCCAAGATTCCCTCCTAATACCTAAACAAAACACGCATGGGAATAAGGGTTGGGGAAGATAGGCACTTGTTTGGGCAACCTCAAGGAGGAGGACTAGTGTACTAGTTTGGAGCTTCAAGCGTAGCGTGAGTATCCATTATAATAATTGTACTTGTTTGAAACACCCTGATTTGCAATTCCCTTACTTTAGTCTTTTTGTATCTCAAATATTACTTTCCCTCTACTTCTTGAACTTAACCAAGTGTCCAAGTAATTATTCAAATTTGTTGACATAAACTAGAAATGGCGTTTTTACTGTTGAATTTCCCTCCAGACTTTTCCTTGCTGACCTTTTAAGAACACAATTCCTGTTCGTTTCATTTTCAATGAAGTTCAGTTTTATTATTTTTCTTAATCACCCCAAAAGCAAAATACCACCCTCTAGCTGAAAAAATGCCCACTTTGGTATGATTACGAGGTTTATTCGAAAATGAAATATTAATTTGATCGAGCTTTTGGACATGGGCAAATCTATACCGAAACTGATCTGCAGAAGTCGGTGACTTTCATGTTATGTTTGGGCAGGATTTGTGACCTCAAAGGTAGCTTGTTGCGGACAAGGACCCTATAACGGGCTCGGGCTATGTACAAGGCTCTCCAACCTGTGCCCAAACCGAGACATTTATGCATTTTGGGATCCATTCCATCCATCCGAAAGGGCGAACAGAATCATTGTGCAACAGATGATGACTGGCTCCTCCAAGTACATGAACCCTATGAATCTCAGCACCATCCTGGCCTTGGATTCCAAGACCTAATATTGTCCTTCTCTTTTATTAATTTGTGTTATCTCTTCATGATGACTGTATCGTACTCAATTCAAGTTGTTTGTTTGTTCAAATGTCATGCAGTTAGAGCAAGCTTGTGATGTTTAAAAGGCATATGTACTGTTCATTGAGTGATCATTGGAAGGTTTCATCATCAAAAATAGTTGCACAATAGTCAACTGTTGGAATACGTATAATATGTGGAAACGTGGACCAAAATATAAAATTAGGCATACCTGGTGAAACTTTGAAAACAAAAACGAGTATGGATCAATAATGCCGCTTTATGTGTCCTTCTTATGTATCTTCAAACAATCGAGCCCGAACAAATATCTCACAGTAGGTGTGACTATGCAAATCTAATGCGAGCCAAACCCGTGTTCCACCATTCTAAAACCTCCATCTTTGGTTTTCAAGAGTAGAGAGAGAATGATGACCCTTTGTCTTCCAATAGAGTTTTTGTTTCAGATAACTGCTTGGGAAGAGGCAAAGATAAGTATATAAAATCCAGAGGAGAGAGAGTAAAGTTATCAGGTGACCCGACCCGACTACACATCCCAAATTCTTACATCTCTCACTCACACATGTGTAAGGATGATGTAGGGTTCATAGTGTCAATCTCTCTCAACATTCACTGTCATTAAGACCATCCACACAAGATCAAAGAATAGTGCAATTGTTGAGTCCACCTACAATTGGGAGCTACTTTTGTAGAAACCCGAGAGGGCTAGTATAGAGACATCAATCTAGAAAATAAAATAAAATAAACCAATGTGATTCATTATGCCCCAGACCTATTTTAATCACACCAAGTTTAGTATCTCTAGTCCCTCAAAGATCCATCCTCAACTTTTCATTCAATTGCATTATAGTCATAATTATATCACTCATCTAAAGGGATATAACTCGTTGATGAATGAATATCAATGCATGGTCGTGAATTCTTGAATTCGCGCTCTCATTTTACAAAATTTGAGAATTTAACTTTTCAATTCGTGATCTTATTTACTTATGTGTTTACTTATTATTACTTCAATTTTTATTTGGCAAGTATTGTGACCTAATTTAAACCATATATCCAAGTATAAATGGTCAAATTATAGTATTACTCAGTTCAGTCCGAGGTCGAACCCACATGGAGCTGTATTTTGGAATTCAAAATAGAAAAGGTAAGATTGTCGTGCACGTAGTGTGCTTTACAATAGCTTGTGGTGTAAACTTAGAACTATTATATAAATACTTAAACTAAACTTTTGATTATAGTAATTGAAAAGCTAATTTTTAGTTGGGGGATCCAACATGCATTTTATTGCTTGATTATGAAAATGCCACCTTACAACAATTAACTTCCATATTCCTGGAAAGTTAACCGGTAGATTTCATGTATAAACTGAACCATGTCACAATAACTAATTAGGTTAGCCGAAAGGTCTATGCACTATACAACAACTAAATAACCCTAATAAACTGGAAGGTGAACCATTCAAAATTTACTTTAGCTATTTGATTGGCAGGTTGATGATTCAATGAAGACGGAGTTCCAATTTATGCATTGAATCAAAAGCATTAGCTATAGTGAGATTTAACCCTTCTATAACCAATCTCCCGACTATTACATAAAACTCAACTACGTGCATCATTGTATCATGCATGAAGTATGTAATAACATAAAGAAGAACTAGTATATAGCAATAAGTTTAGCTCGATACCCGTAACCATGAGCATATAGTAGTATGACACCGACGTAAATAATAACAACCATCCATCAATTAAGGAAAGTATAAACATTAACGCATAGGTAAAACATTGACATTTCCATAACGCAAACAATATTACACATGTCTTCACCCTTCACTAAAGAGTATAAACAGACCACTATCAATTCATTGCTATAGACGAGCAAGAAGGGTGAGATAATCTCAGTACAACAAAACACAAAACCAAAATCAAGTGCAAGAAATCCTTCCCCTTGGAATAGTTGAAACACCCTCACTCTTATTACCGACTAGAGCACAAAGGTGAGAGGTTCAACCCTCCAAGTAAAAAAGATGTAAAAGAAATGTAGAAGAAGAGAAATTCTAGCTTATGAGTGTTTAGGATAAGGTTCCTTCTTCTCTGACTCTGGCTCTCTTCTTTGGCAAATTCCTCTGTCAAAATGGCTGAACTAGGCTATTTATAGGCTCCATGAAGTGGTTTAGAGGTGGCAGACACCCAAGGCAGCCAATCAACTTCCTTTGTTGCACTTTTGGACCAATAGGAGGAGAGGAAGGCTCAAAGCGGTTTAGCCACCGTCCGGTCGCCACCACCACCATCTGGACGGTGCTAATCCACTGGATTTTGTGGATGAAGCCTCATTTGCTTACCTTGTTGACTTGTTGGCGTTGGGATGGTAGTTTACCATCTGGATGGGGAGGGTTCCTTTTAAAATTGCTTTTTCCTCCCTTCTTAGTTCGTCTTCCACTCTTCTGTCCTTCCAAGTTCTGATAATTATAAATGAAACCCTACAAGATACACAAATTAAACATTCGCCATAACACTATTTAAATAACTTATTTTAATTCAATTAACACGCACTATTAATCCTAAACCCTAATTCAATTCTGCACTTTTTAGGGTTAATCATACTGACCCAAGCCTAAAGATACATATCGAACTAGCATAATATTTGTAAACTATAGTTATCATTTTAAGACTTTATAATCAACACATATTTAAAAATTAAATAGTTTGTATCAGAGTTGTGCATGAAATTTTAATTTTTTATATTCTATTTATATTAAACTTTTATGGGTGAACGTCTATCTGTATGTATATAATATTACGCTTTCAAGGCACTTCTGCTCTCAAATTTTTTTTAAATGTTGATGTTTTGCACTTCCGCTCCTACTCCTACACTGTCAGGATTTGAAAATTCTTCCCTTTGCCCTGATGTGAGTTACGAACACTGTTATGAGACATTTGTAAAAAAAATAAAAATAGAATTATTGGGGAAGAAAACTCGCTTCGAGGGGGTAGAAACTTCCAGTGGTTCACTTCGAGGGGGAACCAAAACTCCAAGTTAGACCAAGCTAACGTTTGTAGAAAGAAAAGTTCTAGATAAATCATTCATGTATCAATCCTAGATTTATACAAAGACTCCTACCATAAAATTGCAAAAAACAAGGACACACAATATCAATACTTTCTACAAAATAGCAACAGTCCTACATAACAGTGGTACAATAAAACAGATAACTTCATAATAGGACTCAACTATTGGTGCACTTTCTCAGCACTGATTCACATAACCCACACCCAAAATTCGAACACATAACAATGTCAATTGGTTCCAAAACATCCGCTTTCCTAGCAATGCTCCGAAAGATGGAATCATACATCGTCATAAGTAACATGCCAAAGTAACAGACATTGATTCTTCACTTTGACATAGTCAAAAGTCACATAGAGCACAAATCACAGATAAAAAGGTCAAAGATATCCTTTAGGACTCACATGGTGAGAAAGCAGGGAACCATTTCACTCACCTTTTTGCATAGGTAGCTAAACACATGTAATATGAAGTACATGTTATGGTGGATAATCTCATTCCAATGAGCATATGTCTCCCTAACAATTAATCTTGCTATACAAATCTTAGTCCAGTTGCTCCCTGAGCGTGTAGCCTGAGTTCCTTATTTGTCTGTCTATCAAAGCGAAAAATTAAGATCTCATATCTAGCTATTCAATTAGGCTCATATAGATTGTGGGGTCATCTATATGCAGTCTCACCATAATTATAGACCTCATCTTGGTTCTAACTAAGGCGACAATATCTAATGTATATATAATGTCTCATTCTTTGTCACTATCCCAACTGCAAAAAAATATGACATATATATTTTGTATCATCTTGTGCTTGCTATCTTAAGGGTCATATAGGTTATTGCTCATGTGAGTAAGTCAATCAGCTTGGTGACAAACTTTTAAACAAAGAATGATGAACATATATATGTGCCAATTAACATTCAAGCCACATTAAATAAGATATGAAAAAACATACTATCATGTGCATAAATGATAAAATGATGGTGAAAAAAAATAAAGAGAGTACATTCCATAGGTAAGCAACTAAGAATAAATCATATCCTACTTAACCCTAAAGCCCTAACATGAGCCATAAATGCATCTCTAGGAATGGGCTTGGTCAGGGGGTCAGTTACCATCTGGCCAAGAGGAATCTACTATATCACCACTTTCTTTTGTAGATGAGGATGCAATCGAAAGGAGAAAATAGGATATTGGCGCTTTAAAGGCCATATTCGGACGTAATATGTCCAAGTCCATCCGTGGGGTTCTGCATCAGAGGAAAAAAATTGCAAGAACTCTCACTCTGTCACGTCTAGATGCCATTTTGTTCACGTCCGGACTCGTGTGAATCCAAGATTCGCGTTTGGATGCCACTTTACCCATGTTCGGACGCGTTTGTCATTCCCAACCAATTAGGGAGCTCAATGACACAAGGCTTGAGTCATCTTTCCCGATTTGGGGAAGTACTCTGTACTATTTACACTGCTTTGGGGGAAGTTTTCCAGATCTAGAAGCTTTCTATTATTTTCTTCTTTAATCTTTGTTTGATTTTGTGGTTATCCCCAATTAATGGCTAGCTAAACTCTTTTACTAAGTTTAGGAGAAAATTCATCATACATTTGGATATGTAATCAATCCTATGAGCTTTAATTGATGTTTTTTTTAATAGTTCAATTCATCCTATTTTAGCAAAACTTTTTCTCTATATAGTCTCTTTAATTATTATGCTAAATGTGATACAAACTTGAGAGTCTCTATGAGTAGAATAGTTAAATGCACATGCTTTGGTTGAATTGTGAATGATTTCATCTAATTAGTTGATTTGTATGAATTTATATGTTTGATTAGTTAATTGCTTGATTTATCATTGACTCCGGACATGATAAATACTTGAAATTAACAATTGAAAGTTTGAATGTTTTTTAGATTAGCTTATTGATTATATCTTAGATAATTTCCTAAATAATCATTGATAAATCCTCCAATTGAGTTCACTCCCTAGGTGTTTCTGAATAAAGATTGGAAATTAGGATTAATTTAATACCTGATTGTTATTGAAGAAGTATCCAGTGCCTTAGTATTTTTCCAAATCATTTTCTCA